AATTTTTAGAAAGATTATGGAATAAATGAATGAATAGTTTACATGGTTATCGTGTATTTCTTTTTTTCGTTTATTTATCTGTTCATGTATATAAAATAATAGCAACTTGTAGTTGGCTCGACGCAGTCCATATTATGATTCGAGTTATGCGTATTTGGATGTGAGGAATCAAAAGACTGGCCATCAACGTACGATTTGCGTCAATTACGAGCAGTGGCGCAACGGTAAATTACCGGAAACAGCTGCTGAAGCGGTTAGTGAATTAACTTCGATCGTATCCGCTTTTTTGTTTGGTTATTTTCTGGTGAAAATGGCGTTTACGAGAACAGGTCAGGAGTGTATATAAACCTCAAGTTAGGGCGTTGAAATGCCTTTGGTTAAGGTTCACCATGAGGCTTATTGTTCTTATTGTTAGTTAGCCTGAGAGCACCCAACTGATATCCTATGGCTGATTGAGCTCCACTCTAGTTCAGCTCCACTCCAAATTGAAGTAATCTGAGGCATATGGCTTAAGCTCACGATCAGCTGAAGTTCGTGTAATGGCTTATGGTACACTAGTGCTGCTGTTGCTGCCCTCTTCCTTATTATCATGTTTATCAGAGCGTTCACTGAAATGTCTAAACGTTTCATTTTCGTTCAATTGAAAATTTTCAAAAGAAATGTTTTTTTTTTTCGATTCGCTGTGAATTTGAAAAGAATATGGTTTGTGTTTGATAGATGGATAATATCGGCGGCGTTTTTAGGAGGAATTAAAGTTGNAAATGTCAGAACGTTTCATTTTCGTTCAATTGAAAAATTTCAAAAGAAATGTTGTTTTTTTCGATTCGCTGTGAATTTGAAAAGAGTATGGTTTGTGTTTGATAGATGGATAATATCGGCGGCGTTTTTAGGAGGAATTAAGGTTGGGTTGGTGGGGCGGTGAGGTGAACAACACGAATGTGTGTGTGAAAAATGCATCGTTGACGTTCAACCAGAGCGCAGTGGCGTTGAACTATCGTTTGGAGCGAGAGGACGGTGCTTGTGCGTTGCCATTCGTCGCGACGAATACATCGTTTAAGGATGCTGCCAACTATATGGCAAGTTTTTTGACTGACCGAACCAAGTCGTTGTCTCTTATGTGGAATTTTGTTTTATTCGGATTTTGAGTGAAACCATTTCGACGATGACTGAGAAATTTGATTTTTTTAAATGACAACCTTTCGAAAATGCATCGACTCTTTTGCGCACATTTTTGGTCGAAGAAATTTTTTCGATGCCACATTTCCAGTGAAATTTGCCCTTCACTATTAATTTCTGACACTATTTATTGTTCCGTAGGAATGGAGGACGTCGTTTCTTCTTTTTTTTTGGTGGATTTTAGAAAGTTTTGAATGGGTTAGTGATCATAAGTTAATTTCAGGCAGATGAAATGATGGCTGAACAAGTGAGTGTAGGTCTATTGTTGGTGGAAAAGGGACGGCAGTTCGTCAGTAAATGGGCTGATTATTTGGTTTGTTTATTGTTTGTGACTGTTTATTGACTTTAGTCGTATTTAAATGCTGAAAAAAATATTTATGTTTTCGCATTTTTCATTGAATGTTTAGAATTTGAATGTTTTTCGGAATACAATTGAAATTTTGCATTCATCTTCGTTGATTATATGTTCATTTGTAAAGATTTTTCATATTGTTCAGTTCTCGGAATTCTACGATCCAGACATGGATGTTACGTTAAAATTACCAACGTTTTTCATCTACAAACGAGTATTTTTCGATGAAGTTGTTGTGAGTGATTTGGCATTTTCTTTTGTTTTTGATTTTTCATTGTATCAAATGATTTCAAGAGAAGCGTTTGATTTTGAAGTATTGAAATGAGAATGTAAAAATGTTGCTTATTTACGAAGAATTTGGTTGAATTTCAGAGAAAATATTTCACTTGTTTTTGCTCTACCGAAAAAATTTGATCGCATATTCAGAAATTATTAAAAAATAATTGATGATGAAGAAAGTGTTTTTAAGGGTCTAAGTGAGGCATCACCGTTGGGCAGCGATCTGTCGCTACGATTCTATCGACCGCAGTCATCCGTTTGGGATTTATCGATGCTCATCGTTTGGCTGTTGGCTGTGTTTTGCGTTGGTGTCGGAGGGTATTGGGCTGGCCATCGCAAAACGTAATGTGCACCATTTTTACAATAATTTGTTTGTTGTTTTGTAATAAATTTGTTTTGATTTATTAGTGTTATGGGTTAGTTTGCGCATATTGTCTGCTTTGATTTATTATTAGATGCTATTGACAATGAGTTATTTGAAAACATTTTTGATGTAATACATTTATTTCAGTGAGTTGTTGCTCTTTTCGTTATTGTTTTTATGAAGATTATCGTGTTTTGTTCAGTTGCGAAGAACGTCGTATAGCCGAGCAAGATATGCAGGCGGACATTGCCCCTTTGGGATTGCAGCAGCAAATGGAACGAA